GGAATTTCATGGTATGTATTTTTCTGAAATAAATTGGGTTTCAGCTGACGGTTGTTTTTTGTTTTTGTCAAGAATTTGTCAATTTTGAAACACCTCTGGGCTCTCTCTCGGGCTTGGTGGGGCGCTGCCTCAACGTTGGTGATATGAACAGCCCATTTTCCAGCAGATGCCCCAGCAAGATACACAGGTGGCAAAGAAAATGCCAGTTCCTTTCTGTGCAGAAGTTTTATAGCCTGTTTTCTGCCTCCCTGATGGCCACTAGAGGTGTCTCTCCAATGTCAGAAACGTAATTTTGGAGGTACCTGAAGGAGGCTATTTGAAGGTTCTCTTCTTTTGCCTTACACCATCATTTTTGCCAATTTTCTCAAACAGCGATTCTCTCGCAATAGAATAACTTGTTTGTGTGAAACGTCATAAGGCGATAACAATATTTGATGACAGTAAAATGAGTAGACACATAAGAATTTGCCTTTCATCCCTCTTCTGCAGCTCTTTTACCTATTTTTAAACAATGTACCAGAACACACACACATGCACAAAAGCGTGTTCAGAATACTTTTTCCAATAATCCTGTCATTGACTAGACAATTTTTGAAACTTCTCTTTTAGAATTGGCCTGTAGAAGAGTTATAACCCTTATAAGCAGACTATAGATGCTCCTTGACTTAAGACAGGGTTGCATCCCAATAAATCCATCATCAATTGAAAATATCACAAGCTGAAAATTCATTTAATACACTTAATCTTTTGAACATCATAGCCTTGATCTGACCTACTGTAAATGAACCCATACTACATTAGCCTGCAGTTGGGCAAAATTATCTAGTGCAAAGCCTATTTGGTGACAAAGTGTTGAATATCTTGTGTAATTTATTGAATGTTGTACTGAAAGTGGAAAAACAGAATGATGTGTGTGTACTTGAAGTATAGTTTCTACTGAATGCATTTTCTTTCATGCCATTATAAAAGTGATATTTGTTGAGTCAAAACATTGTCAGGGCCCATTAGTTGTCTCAGTATTGTATGACGGCACCTGGTTTTCATGAAAACCCTACCTTGATCACTGTATTTATCAGATTTGAAATCACTGGGTTGGTCACAGCTTGGCAATCCTGGGTGTAATGGTAGAAATCATTTAGCTCAACCCCCTTACTTTCTGATGAGAAAGTTAAGCCCCAGAGAAGTTCATTTGCCAAAGATAACATAGCAAGTTAGCAAATAGCTTATACCAGAAACTAACTAGGGTCTTGTGGCTGGTCATTGAAAATCAAATCTATTTTGAAAAAACACATAAATGCCATCATAAAAGATATTTCAAAAGGGGTAGGCAAGGTGGCTCATGCCTATAGTCCTAGCACTTTGGGAGGCTGAGGCGGTACGATTACTTGAAGCCAGGAGTTTGAGACCAGCTTGAACAAAAAGCAAGACCCCATCTCTACAAAAAATAGAAAAGTTAGCTGCATGTGGTGGCATATACCTATTGTCCTGGCTACTTGAGAGGCTGAGGCAGGATAACTATTCAAGCCCAGGAGTTTGAGGTTGCAGTCAGCCATGATGATGCCAGTGTCCTCTAGCCTGGTGACAAAGTGAGACTTTGTCTCAAAAAAGAAAAAAAAAATGCGTGAATGCTGTCGGGTTACCAGGGCGGAGCTGGTAGCCTCTCACCTAACGTGCACAGTGTAGGGTATACTGCACACCCCTGGGTGAAGGGCTCAAGGACACTTTGAACTTTGCCTAACAAATGCAGACAATGTAACCTAATTATCCAAACCCTAATATTAATCTGAAATATTAAAAAAGGAAAAAAAAGTGTATTGTAAAAGAACCTGCTGTGAATTCTGAAGATCTTTCTAGAAATAGTCCAGAAGTCTTTGGGGCAGGGGAAGCATTTTTGTAATAACTATATGTTTATATGTAAAAATAAGTGTATCTTCTTATTATAATAAGAATATATCTCCATATATAAGTTCTATTATATTTGCTTTAAAAAAAAGTTAGACTGTAGTTATACCTTTTGTATAGATTTCTTAAATTAGCAACACAGTAAAACTGTATCCCAATTTTGAAATGGTCCTTGTTTTTCTCATTTTTTTGTGGAGGACATATATAGGGTGCTGTAAAAGGATCTCCAAAAAGTACTTAGCTCCAGGTCTGAGGCAACTTTGTCCCTGAGCTATAACATCTAATGAAATAACCATTAGCCACGTGTGGCCATTTAAATTTAAATTTTAGTTAACTAAATTTCACAGGCCACGTTTCAAGTGCTTAACAGCCATAGTGGGCCAGTGGCTCATAACTACCATATTGGACACTGCAAATAGATATGAACAGAACATTATCATCAACACAGAAAACTTTATTGGTTACTGCTCTTCTTGAATTCCTATAGTCAGTATTTTTAATTTATTATTTATCTCTGGTATTATTAATATCTGTAGACAAGTTGGAAAGTGTTGGCAAATTCTGGGAAAAGTACTTTAAATGTTCATTTGTTCTCTGAACATTCCTTGTTGTTCTGCCTAGTATAAGAAAAAAGGGCAAAAATTGTTCTTACCCATTTTAGAGTATGATTATGTGTGTGGAATTTATATTAATTACTAAATGTTCTTGCAGTATGCTGAAGTTATGACAAAAACGTTGCTAATGCTGCCAAAGCTATTTGTAGAAAAGTCTTGTTAGTTAGACATCTCTTTACAGTGCCATAACATTTGAAATGAATCAACCTGCACCTGAGATAATGGAAGTTTTGGTGATTTCATCCTTAATGGCCATTCGACTTCAGATTACCTACGTACTTTCATTAATCCTAACATCAAGAATTAAAAACCATGTATGAAAATGGAATGAGTTAGCTCTGCAGACTGTGTTCAGGCCCGTTTGCAAGCTGTACATAGTTGAGGGCAGGGCCCAATCCTCCATGGCTCTGTAGGCCCCATGATACTTCACGTGATGTCCTCCAGTATGGTTTCTGTAAGTCTGTTTGAACATATAAATGAGAGTTTGATCATGTCATTTGAGAGCAGACACATAGTGTACGTGAAATGTGTGAATGCTGTCAGGTCTTCTTATTGTAGAGTAGGACCTACTGAACTGACTGCTAGGACTGGAATTTCTGAGTAGTTATCAGTCCTTTCGGTCACTCTGTACTGGATTGGAAGCAGGGATCAACGAATTACAGACTCGCACAGGGGAGGGCTGCAATGTCGCTTAGTCTGTTGGAATCGCAGGAATAGTAAATGCAGTTTTAAACTAAAGACAAATTACGAAAGCTACAAAATACCATAATAAAATTGCAGTGGATCCATAAAACAAATAAGCAGTGTTTCATATATCTGGGCATGTATAATGTAAATATATCAGTGAGGCATGCATTCATTTTTTTTTCTTTTTCATATATTTAATATAAAATGGCATTACTCAGAATACTGATTTTTTTTTGAAAATGAGATAGGCAAATGTATATTACTGGGATCTGATCAAACTAAAAAGCTTCTGGAAAGCCAAGAACCCAGTAAGTAAAGCAAGCAGACAGCCTCAACATGGGAGAAGATATTTGTAGGTTATGTTTCTGACAAAGGTTTGATAACTAGCATCCACAGAGTACTCAAACTAATAAATAAGAAAAGAATAAGTGATCCCATTTCATTGTGGGCAAGAGACTTGAACAGAAGCTTCTCTCAAGAAGACAGGTGCATGGCCTACAAACACATGAAAAAATGTTCATCATCTTTGATCATCAGAGAAATGCAAATCAAAACCACTTTGAGATATCATCTAATTCTAGTTAGAGTAGCTCACATCACAAAATCCCCAAACTACAGACATTGGCATGAATGTAGAGAAAAGGGAACACTTCTGCACTGCTGGTGGGAATGCAAGCTAATACATTCCTTTTGGAAAGAAGTTTGGAGAACACTTAGGGCTCTAAAAGTAGACCTGCCGTTTGATCTTGCAATTCCTGTACTAGGAATATATATCCAGAAGACCAAAAATCATTTTACAACAAAGATATTTGCACCAGAATGTTTATTGCAGCCCAATTCATAATTGCCAAGTCATAGAAGAAGCCTAAGTACCCATTGACCCATGAATGGATTAATGGTGGTATATGTATACCATGGAATATTATGTAGCCTTAAAAAAGATGGAAACATTACCTCTTTTATGTTTACATGGATGGAGCTGGAACATATTCTTCTTAGTAAAGTTTCTCAAGAATGGAAGAAAAATATTCAATGTACTCAATACTATTATGAAACCAATTTATAATCACCCACACTTTCATACAAAAGATAAAACACAACTACAGCCCAGGATGAAGTAGGGAAGAGGAGGGGGAGGGGAAGGAAAGGGGGAGGCCAGGTGGAGGGAGGGTAATGGGGGGAACTCACCTATGGGGCATGTTGCAAGGGTACATGTCAAATCTATTAAGAGTATAAATGTCTTAACACAATAACTAAATAAGTGAGGTGAAGGCTATGTTAACCAGTTTGATATAAGCATTACAAATTGTATATAAAACCAGCACATTATACCCCATAAATGCATTAATATACACAGTTATGATTTAATTAAAAAATTGTTAAGAGAAAAAAATAAAGTCTAAGTGGACATAAAAATAAAAAAGTAAAGAAATAGGCAAAGGTATAGTTACTGACTCAGTCTCTGGGAAACCCATCTTCCTTGCGGCTGGTGGGCCTCACATCTTGTGTAAATGCTCGTTGCATGTTCTGCATCAGCAGGACTCTATAGCTGTCACCCAGTGCAGCTCTTTTTCTTTTCTTTTTAAATAATTTTTTAAAAATTTAACTTATCTCCTTCCCAACCGTGTGGATGTTACATCTGGTGAAATGTTTGCCAGATCCTCACAGCGTCTATTCCATCCCACAGCCTGAGGTTATGAGATGCCTTAAAGACTTAGGGGGAAAGAATTCTTTCTGTCTTGCAGTTCCTGGTATTGGCCATAGGACAGTGACAATGTCTCAATTCTTCATTTTTAGATAACAATCGACAGAGATAGCGGTGAAGATGTGAGCTCCCCCAAACACGGAAAGGAAGACCCAGACAACATGCCCCATGTAGGCGGCAATACTTGGGCTGGTGGAACAGGTAGGTAGCCTGGGCATGCTCCTGGGTCAGGCTTCACTAGCCCTCGAGGCCAGCACATCACCCCTAAGAAGGCTCAGGGGCCAGCTTTCCTTCTCAGCCTCCCCTGTTACTCGGCCCCAGTGTGACGTCAAGACACGCAAGACACGCACAGACCCTGCCGCCCTATGACCTGAAACCATTCTTGCTCTTCTGGGGTTGCATCATCAGTAAAAAGGGGATAATGTTAATTGCCTCACAAGGTTGTGGTAAGCATTAAATGAGATTAAGACTGTAAAGTGCTGCACACAATGCCTGGCGTGAAGAAGATATTTATGAAAGTGCTAATCCCTTCTTTTAAATTCCATGACCTTGGGATGGTGCCAGAAATCCCCAGTAAATTCTTTCTTGAGCAACTGACTTTGAAAAGAAATGGTCCTTGTCTTCCACATCTCAGAAGTGAGCAGGTTTAGGTTACGAGATTTTGAGATAATGGAGCTGGTTGCAATTTGAACTGTTGGCTGCAGTCCATTCCTTCCTCTTGGCTGCCCGACTAAAGCATTGTTCCCAGGACTGTCGTCTTCCTTTTTCCTCCTGAGCAGCTGGAGCAGACACATCTGCTGGGCCACAGGAATAGGGCCAGACTGTGTGCGTACTGTCTGAGCTTATCGGAGCTCTGTACTTCACCTTCCCTTAGGATGGTCTGTGCCTTTTGGCCTTGACAGCCTGGGGAGGAAGTGGGTTCCTGTGCTGAGACAATGTGCTATCAAATAAGCCTGTGATTTCTCGCCTACTCTGTGTACTCATCAAGTACCAGCCTTAAAGTAAGGCTATTTTTAGAAATATCCTTTGATCTATATGTTAGTGTCAAGCCAACAAGATTTAATCCATATGGAATGCGTCGTGGAAGGTGCTGGGCAGATGTAGGTCCCAGCAGTGGATGACTCTGGAATGAAAGTTTGTATTTGTTATTCACCTTGAATTTCCTAGCCCACATTTGCTTCTGAAGCAAATCCCCAGACTGACGACTGTGCACTTGCTTCCCCTGGTCTTTTATTTTTCAGCTGACCAAGGGTCTGGGCTCCAATTTCTGTTTTTCATTCTGTCATTCTTCCCCCCTCAGAGTTCTCTGTGTTGTACTTAGCTCTGGCCCAACAAGTCATCTGCTTCCCCTTTCATCAAAGCCCTCACTGACCTGTCCCCCAGCTCATCTTCTCAACTGCTTTGGGATGACCAAACTTAGCTTTAAGAAGATTGTGCCTTGCCTTCTTAGAATGTCCAACTAGCATTTTCATTCAAATAGTACAAATTAAAGGCTCTGGGAAGTGAAGATTATGAAAAACGCTCCTCCTGCCCTCTCCACCCCATGATGACTTGCCCAATGGCTCTGTGACTCATGCTGGCCATCACTCACACCAGCCCTAACAGTTTCACCACTTTCCTCCTTTCACCAAAATGATGCTGTAATTCACAATCCACCCATTCCTAAGGCTAACCTCCTGTAGGAAGGAGTCATATGCCAGAAACCACTCTTCCACCTAGAGCTGTCATTTTCCAATTATTGTGTCTTCTGCCTATAGGCTGACCGTGAGTGAGAGCCAGGAGTCCCACACATCTGAGAAGGAATCTTCCACTACCCATTTCTGAATAGAGATAAAAGGGCTGTAATTAATAGGCTGTTCTCATGGTATTTCCCAAAAGGAAATGCTTTACCTGGACTTTCATCAAGGAAGCGGTTCTCACTGAGTTCTTATTTTTACTTTGTTAGGTTGATTAAAGCTGGGGCGAGGGGGAGAAAAGCTTTCAAATTTTCCACTTTATAAAACTAGGAATTGCTTATATTTATGTGACTGGGAGTTGTTTAAATAGTAATAGTGAAAGTAGTCCTTCGTATTGCTCTTATTATGTGTCAGACAGTGTTCTAAGCGTGTTAGCTTCATGACAGTCCCATGAAGTAAATGATATTAAATATTTGTCCCCGACATTACAGATGAGGAGACTGAGGCACAGAGATGGTGTAGAGCTAAGCCATGTAGAACCTGAGTTTATATTAATAGACTGTTCTGCAGCTGGTGATATGTATCTGTCGAATATTGTTCAAAGCTGAAAGTCAAAGTTAATAGAGCAATTGGCTTCTAATTTTGGCTAAACCAGTGATAAAAGGTCATACATAGGTCACTTAACCTCTCTGGGCATTGTTTTTATAATTTTGCAAACCGGAAGAAACAGTATTTGTAGCCTACCTGTCTCTTTGTATTTTAAGGAAAAATAAGGTAACACGAGGAAGGGTTGAGATGCTCATTTAACTGGCAAATATATACTATGTGTTCAGGGTATTCAAGTCACTCTTACAGGTCAAGAGATACAAAAATAACTAAAACATGATCCCATCTATCACATAATTGATGAGGTAGAGGCATCAGATAAGCTGTCATAGAGTTTGGACCGAGTCTTGAAATATAGGTGGGATCTGGATGGATGGAGAAAAGGAAAAGTACCCTAAACAGGGAATACTTCTGTTTCCAGAAAGTTATTTGAGTATTTAATTACTAATACAATTACTTTACAGGACTGTCTTTTTTTTTTTTTTAGCCTTTATGTCATTTTCTTTGTTATTGTGTTAAGACATTTATATTCTACTCTTAGAAAGATTCACTTGTACCCTTGTAAGATAAACCATAGAGGTGATCCCTCCAATAAGCTATGATCTGGTTTTGTAGTCATTTTCAGACTAACCATGTGGATTTCCATGCTTTCCTCCAGGGGGAAGAGATACAGCAGGTATGGGTGGCAAAGGAGGTCCATACCGGCTGGACGCAGGCCACACAGTGTACCAGGTCTCTCAGGCCGAGAAAGATGCAGTCCCCGAAGAGGTCAAGAGAGCTGCGAGAGAGATGGGCCAGAAGGCATTTCAGCGGAGGTCAGTGCGGCTGCTCTGGTGAAATGTCATCGTGGACTGTGGGGAAACCAGGGTGTGTGTGATTTTCCACCTCATTCAGCAACTTGGATCGCAAATTGAATTTTATAAACCCCCACTCCCAACGGAGACAGCCAAGTGAACAAAGTCCCGTCTTCTTCCTATTCAGGCACTTTGAAATTTACTGATTACATATGACTGTGTAGAAGAAGGGATGGAGCACATGAGAAAGTAAACCTAAAGATATTTCTCTTAAGAGAAGTTAAAGGGTGGCATTTATGGCTCAAAGGAGTAGGGTGCCGGCCCCATATACCAGAGGTGGTGAGTTCAAACCCAGCCCCGGCCAAAATCTGTAAAAAAAAAAACAGAAGTTAAAGACAAAGTGAAATTTAAATCACTCCATCCACCTCCTTCTGTTCCTAGGCCACATTCCAGGAAGGGAAAACTAAATGAGCAGAGGCACTGGGCAGGATAAGCATAGCGTCTATGGTGGAGGCAGCCAGCTTGCCCGCCAGGATAAAGGGTACCAGCTGGGGAGAAGCAGGCAGTGAGTCTGGATGGGGAGGCCTCGTCAGCAAGTGGAGTCCTTAAACTCCTGCTCGGGGCTTGGCGCCTGTGGCCTTTAGACATTCTATAAATGCTCTGGGCCATTTTAATCGGACCCACCTAAAAACTAAGAATCCACATGGTGCTCTCACTGGGCATCTCCATGTGTTCTTTAGCTAAAAGTGAAAAATGCCAAAGATTCAGCAGCGTCTCCTTTATATTGAGGGGCCCGGTGGAGGTTTGGGAAGTAGATTTACATTTTTGTGCTCAGTGAAAGGAGCTGGGTGCAGTTACCAAAAAAGCATGCTCAAGTGTATGTGAGTTCTGAAATTCCTCCCACATAGAACATCTGGTATTACATTCCGTGCTGTGCTTTCACATCCTGCAAGTAAACAGTGCAGAACAATAGGGACAAAAATGCAGGTCCCGCCTGCCACCCCCTCAGGAAAGTCTGTATGCCTCTGGATCCTGTGGGGCCAGCAGGTAAGTAAGGTGCACGCATTAGACAGTGCTGTTGGGGTGGGGTAAAAAAATAAATAAATAAAAAATAAGACAGTGCTTTTAGCCCTTCCGCTGGCTTCTCTGGGGACCGTAGACAGTTCCTTTATCCTCCCTGTGTCTGAATTTGCTCTTCTGGAGCTAGAGGGCTTCTCTCTCTTTTCTTCTAGAGAGTCTATGAGGACAGATAACTATGTTAGGAATGAAAGCAGTTGAAATTTCTCCAAAAAAAGGTGGGAGAAATACTTTATAATGTAAAGTCTTATTAGAATTAAAATACTGCTCTACATTTCATATGAATAATGAAATACCCATCAGGAAAAGAAAAAAAAGAACCATTTAGATATGTGTCATTCTCCCCTCCCCGACTAATGAGTTTTTATTATTGCCAACCTCAAAACCTCCCAGTTATCCAGTCCAAATTGTTGCCCAAGTGGACAAGAATGTTCTGGCACATAATAGTTTAGAGGCAGAAAGGCCTCACAGTGGTGCTTAGACAGAAGTGTGCAACCCCGTCTCCTGTTGCCAAATAGGGAAAAGGAACCTGGTTCTATTAAGGGAAATTGGCCCACAGGGGAAGAAGTCAAGGGCATCTTCACTAATAAGGAAACGGGATTTAGTGAGTATCAGAGAGGAAAGAGAGGCCATAGGGAAAAGAGTGAGAAAACCATGTACCTCCCTTGTATACGGCAGAGAAGAATCTGAGTGGAAGTAGAAGAAAATACCATTAAGTGGCTGAAAGACAGAAGACTTTTCCCTAACTTTTTTTCTTCAACTTTCCATTGTGGAACTTTTCAAACATAAAACAAAAGTAGAGAAAAACATGTTGAACGCTATGGACCCGACCCCCAACTTGAGGAAGAAACCTCTGGCTCCACTCCCAGGCCTCACCCCTGGCTCGTTTTGAAGCTAATCCCAAGACATTCTGTCATTTCATAGTGAATATTTCAGAGCGTATCTCTATGATATCAGAACTCAAAAACATACAATCCCACAATACTATTATCGTGTCTTTAAAAAGTAGTAATTCGTTACCATCATCAAATAATTTGTTTTAAAGCTGTCTTGCACCTTAGGCCTGTGTATGTGGAAGGAGGTCAGGGCCCGCCACTTATGCTGTAGGGCACCCTGTGCCTCCTCTTCATAACTCTTCTCACTCCTTCACATTTTATGATTTGTGTGATTAGTTGACTGTCTCCCCACTGCCTGTACGTTCCTAAAGGGCAAGGATTTCTCTGTGTCGTGCTCTAGTGGAACTCCAGGACCTGTACACAGAGCCTGGCACATGGCAAACACTCATGCATGTCTGTGGAATGAATAACACACACGTGCACACTAGTAATAGTACCACCCTGTAGTGCTTAATTCAGAGACTGGCTGAAATGAGGCAGTCCTGCCACCACCCAGAAGATCCGCTCTGTTGCCTCGTGGAGCCCAGTATTACTGGTGGGTTCCTGACACTATCATCATAGCATTTCCTTGCATCCATTTGTATCTGGAGTGAAGCTAGATCCAAGTTCCTACATATCAGGAATATACTGACTCAGACTAACAGAGGGAGACGAATCTAGGACGTGCGTGAAATGAAACAGAAACGTTATACCAATGAAAAGTGAATGAAATAGACAGTGAGGCATTTGTACACACTTAGAAAAGCATTGAGGTGGGCACCAGCTGTGGAAATCGCGTCTACTACCATTTGCAAAACTAATCATCCTCACATAGGGGATCTCGGCATATGTTTGTTTTCCTCATAATTGATTCAAAATTATAGTATTTAAGTCTGACCTGTAAGAAAAAGTAAAATGAGAACTAAAATTCCCAGACTCTTACGTAACAATAAATATACCCTTTAAAAATATGCTGTGCCAACAACGGGCAGTTAGTCCACATAGATTACTAGGATGCGAAGCAGCTGTGCCCTGATCCCATTTAAAAAAGCAGAAAGGCACATTTTCAGCTAGTTTTGTAGGCTTGAAAGTATTAGCTATGGGAACCTTGTTTGATCCAGAGGCTAAAATTTCCTATCTTTTTTCTCCATTCCCTGCTTTGGTCTTAATCTTTCAGAATTTGTTATCAGCTTTGAACACCTTGTAGGTGATCTTTCTGAAAGTTGATACAATCTGGAATATGATTTCCAGATTTCTTCATAATTGAAATAGCATGTGGTGTGTTTGGGGGTGCAACATGATCTGCACCAGAGGTAGCCCTCTAAATGGAGCTGATTCTGATCCCTCTGCTGAGAGGGATCTGTCTGCTCAGGTGACTACCAACTGTTTAGCCACTTCCTTGATATGTATCTGTATGTAGGTCTGTGTGTATACATATAGACGTGTGTGTATATGTGTATGTATGTATACACATATGTGTATGTATTTGTGCATACATTCCTTCCTACGTTCCTCTCTCCCCATCTCCTCCCCACAAGGACAGCCATGTCCACATTTTTTTCTAATCAATTCTAATCTCATTTCTTTGGAAAATAGCCCATTGACTTCGAAGTTATGGAGTGTGTAGTGTTCGTTGGGCCCAGCTGCCGTCAGCCTTGAGACTCGAGACATAACTTAATCTAATGAAAATTCCTAGAGAGGTTTCAGAGACTGCCAAAACTAAACAGAAGAAGTACTTTTAGGAGGTCAAGTCCTACACGTGGATTCCTTTTTGTTCTGCAGGATATGGAGTTAATTCGCTTTAGAAGGGCACCTTGGTGTGTCACTTCAGAATACAATCATTCAAGTATTATAGCAGCGTTGTCTGTAATTACCTTTTGATAGTGTTTTCAAAGTATTGTCCAACAGCATTTATCAAGTGCCGCTCTGTGCCAGGCACTGTGCTAGGTCTGTGTTTTCAACCTTCATATCTCATGTCACTTTTGAACCTATAGTGAAACTTCCACAGCACACTTAAATTATGTTGATCAAAAAAGAGTAAAAAATATATATATACTTATTGTGCTTGGAACTTCTTCTGAAAATAATTTAATTAATGATCTTTAAACATTTTCACAGCACACCGGTTGAAAATCAATGTGCTAGGTACTAGAGATTCAAAGAAAAAATAAGATATGGTCCTTCTATTTAAGGAATGGAATAGAAAAACCAGAGTACATCACCTATAATAAGCATATTTTTCAGTTACACATACCCATGCATTTATGTGTACTATATCCCCATGTAAAACATGTTTCCTACTGTGGAAAAGAAAAGTTTGAAAAACACCATAACAGAGAGAAACAGACCTGTCTATTAAAGCAATGCAGGGGTCCTCAAACTTTTTAAACAGGGGGCCAGTTCACTGTCCCTCAGACTAGTGGAGGACTGCAGGCCCCAGGACGAGTCGGCTGCTAAGCTGGACAGGCAGCAGTGGCAAAGACACCTGGCGGGCCAGATAAATGTCCTAGGCGGGTTGCATGTGGCCCGCGGGCCGTATTTGAGGACGCCTGCAATAGAGTATACAGGTTTCATGGTAGATGACTTTATAAGGTTCAAAAAAGGAAACAGTCAGTTTTATTCAAGGGATCAGGCCATACTTCCTGGGATGTGTCCTTTGAGCTGAGTCTTCAAGCCTGAGTTGGTGTTAGCTGACTGGTGGGTGAAAGGGCAGGAGTTGCAGATATGCCCCTGGGAGGCGAGACCTGGCATTGGGAGGTGGTAGACCAGCACTCTGCCCCATGATGAATGGATCCTCCCAGTGCTTGGCCTGGCAGGGAGGATAGAGACTGCTTATTCTCATGCAGAATTTGGGGTTTCTGTTTTAGCCCAAGGGAATAAAAATATACTTTAGGCAAGAGATTTACCTATATATACCTAAGATTCGTACCTCCAGCACTACACACGCACGTACATGCACACACACAGCAGTTCAGAAGATTGTGTTATGCTTAGGCTTTTGAGATAGGCATTCATTATTCCCTTTTAAATTTATAAAACTTTATGGAAATGTGTGATTTAATTAGTGTAATATGGATGTAATACTGTAAACCCCAAGAGAGGGCACTCCTGAATGAATTTTCTACTTAGAATTACTTTAAGATGCTGCATTTAAAATAATCCTGAGTTGAATTTTTATGTCAGTCATTCATTTCAATTTATTTTGTGCACCTGTTACATGTTCAGGACTGTGCTAGGTACTACGCATGTAAAGATGAGAAAGACTGGGTCCTTACCCAAGTGAGCACAGAGCCGCGTTGGGGAGACAAAAGATGGTTAAAATAAGGGTAGTGAATGCTCTGACTGACGGAGGAGTGAAGTGAGAAGAGAGCGCAACAGGCACACCTGGGGGCAGAGCAGGTGTCCTAGAGGATAACTGATTTGAATCTTGAAGGGTAGGTGGAGCAAAGGGACTGGGAAAGGACGCTCCAGGTGGGGAGAAGCACTGTGGCAGCATTGAGGGCCGTGATGTATGGCGCATGCAGGGAACTGTCCGTGCGCTGCTGAGGCTGCAGCAAAATGCAAAATGATAAAAAGGAGCAGTGTACTGGGAGGACAGAATTTCAAAGGCACAAAAATATTAAAATATAATTTTTCTCTCTAAAGTACACTGTCAGCAATTTTAGAAAACTCTTGGATAAGTGTATATAGCAACACAGTAAGATATGTTCTTTGGGCGTGAACTGTTACCTTGGTCAATCAAATAGATGATCTCTGGATTAAAAAGGAACCCACGGGAACTCCCTCAGGAATGTGCCACATGAACCCATCCGCTGCCAACCTCACAACGTGTGTAGGATGTCTCGGTGGTGTGCCCTAGAGCCGGGCCATGCACATTTCTAACTCAGCATTCAGCATCGGTAGCTTGAAAGTGAGCATGGTGGTGATACATATACCATGAAAGTCAGCAAATACAACAAGTCAGGCTTTTTTGAAAACATTCCTGGCCAGGCACAGTGGCTCGCACCTGTAATCCTAGCACTCTGGGAGGCTGAGGCAGGTGGATTGCTTGAGCTAACAAATTAGAGACCAACCTGAGCAAGAGTGAGACCATGTCTCTACTAAAAATAGAAAAACTAGCCAGGAGCTGTGGCTGGTACCCTGTAGTCCAACCTATTCAGGAGGCTGAGGCAAGAGGATTGCTTGAGCCCAGGAGTTTGAGGTTGCTGTGAGTTATCCTAACACCATAGTACTCCACCCAGGATGACAGAATGAGACTCTGTCTCAAAAAAAGAAAAATCTTGGCCACATAAGGTGGCTCACATCTATAATCCTAGCACTCTGGGAGGAGAAGGCAGGAGGATCTATTAAGCTCAGAAGTTTTTTCTTTTCTTTGGCAGGGAGTGTGGGGGAAAGTCTCACTATGTTGCCCTGGTAGAGTGCCATGGCATCCCAACTCACAGCAACCTCAAGTGATTCTCTTACCTCAGCCTCCCAAGTAGCTGGTACTACAGATGCCCGCCACAATGCCCAGCTATTTTTTTTTTTTAGTTGTAGTTGTTAGTGTTGCAGGCCCGGGCTGGGTTCAAACCCACCAGCTACAGTGTATATGGCTGGCGCCCTAGCTGCTGAGCTATAGGTGCCAAGCCCGAGCTCAGGAGTTTAAGACCAGCCTGAACAAGAGTGAGACCCTGTATCTACTAAAAATAGAAAAATTAGCCAGTCATGGTGGTGGGCCCCTGTAGTCCCAGATACTCTGTATGTTGAAGCTAGAGGATCGCTTGAACCAGGAGTTTGAGATTGCTGTGAGATAAGCACTCTAGCCTGGGGCAACAGAGTGATACTCCATCTCAGAAAAAAAAAAATCCTGGAGGCCATTTGTTAACTGTTTACCAGCATGTCATCGGTGTTGCCCTCCTTTGAATCCATAAACATACCTGGAGACATCACTTCTTGCTTTTGTTCCTCAAAGTCGATCTGAGTTGCCAAGGAGTTTGCTAGAGTCCTAGCAGTAGGTGAATGGAAGTAAAAGACCCACATGTACACAGCTTAAGCTGTTACCTTTTTATGCCCTTCGCTTTTAGGCTGAAGGAGATCCAAATGAGTGAATATGATGCTGCTGCTTATGAAAAATATTCGGGTGCTGTTCGGCGACAGGTGCAGTCCCTCCGAATCATCCTGGATAATTTACAGGTAATCTTCCATTTATAGTCTAAGAAAATAATCTGGGCCCAAAGTTGGACCCATCCCAAAACTGTTGTAGAGAGTCCTCTGAACGCTCATCAGCCAGTCAGAAAAAATTAATCAGTGCTAAAAGGTCCGCATAAAACTGTGGCCTCATTCTGGAGCTTTTCTAGTTGAATTCTCCAAAGAAAAATATTTGACTTCACCTTTCCTCTAGTCCAGGAAGCAGTAATTTTACCAGTCACCTTAGTAGACACCCATCTTCCTGAGTCCCCTCACACAAGATCTATGAGCCTCATACCTCTACTGGAAATTCACCAATAGGATTCTTTTCCTACAAAGCATGTTACTGCCACTGAAGAAAGAGAGGAACATTGTGTATCATCCAGGATGTGTATTCTCTGTGCTCCCTGGATCCTCTTCCTCACGCACTCCCCACCCATTGCCTGCCTTTTTGCTATTTCACAAAATAACTGTTGGTGCCTCAGAAGCCGTTAATACTGCTATTGCCCTCCCCCCAAAATAGTGATTAAGACGCTTCGATACTTCCTAACCAGTGAACATTATTTAGAGATTTTACATTTGAAATCTTGCATAAATAATTTGTGCAAATAATTAATGAAGAGCTGAGTATTTTCTAAAATCTCAAGTGAAGTCAAATTATTTTGTCTAAAGAGAAAGCAGAGCCTCATTTCAGGAGCAGAGGGGCAGGATTAGGAGCCAGGCTGTGGCAGGCTTCTCCACTCTGCTCTGGAATCCCGTGTTTCCTTTCCACGACGTGTTTGAAGTTGACTACCCTCAGTTGTGCCTCTTTCCTCTTTGGTTCTTATTTGTAAAGGTTCTTTTAAGGGAGGATATGTTATTTTTTGCTAGGTATTTATGGTTAGAATTTCTGTGATGCAGTTTAATCCGTGACCTTTCCCCAAAACTCTGAGAAAGCTTCATTTTATGAAAGCTCTAAACTATATCAGGAAATTAAGAAAAGTTTGGTCATTTCCAAAAGGAAAGATCTTTTTTTTTTTTTTTTTTAAGATAGAGTCTCAAGCTGTTGTCCTGGGTAG